CTGGCGTATTATCATCAAAATGAAAGAGAAAAAATAGGGGTCTTCGTTTTTGGGTCTTCGGTTTTCGGTCTTCGTTTTATAGACACCCAACAAAAAGTTCAGAATTTGGAAAATGTGCCATTCTTGTGGTGAATCTTTAATGGAGGACTCAACTTCTAATATTAATACACGAAAACGGCCAAGTCCAAATGAAAGTCCATCATCAAGTAGGCCTAAGCTTGCTCGTCTCTCATTTGATTCTTTCAGAGATAGGAAAGAAAAGGAAAGGAGTAGGCCTACTGTACTAGATTCACCAAGAAGCCGTGTCAACGAAAATAGAGAAAAACCCCGAGGTCACCATACAGATCGGTCTTTTAACGTGATGGATCATCTCTTCCCTTGAAAGTAAATCCTTCGATAGGAATGGAGATCTTAAAAAAAGGGGGCCGAAAACATGATCAAGTTTAACAAAGAGCTCATCAGCTTCCCAGAGGCTTTTACTTTATTATACCCTGACAGAAGTGCAGTGCAATTTTTGCCAGGTAGTGAGGAGGTATTTTCCTTACAGAGATACAAGGAAGAGCTAGGAAAATCCTACCAACGGATTACTTTGTATTTATGCCTCAAAATCGATTATAACGAATGAGCTGAATTTAAGTCTTCTTTTTAGCATCTCTCATCTGACCTGACCTCAGTCTGTTGTCAACTAATATGAAATGCGCACGCGCAAAGGCTTTTCCATTTTGTTTGCAGGGTTTCCTTTTTTTGTTTGTAGCGTTTCATTTTTTTGTTTGCAGCATTTCCTTTCTTGTTTGCAGCGTTTTCTTTTGTTTGCTGGTGTTTTTATTTTTTGCTTGCAGCGTTTCTTTATTTGTTTGCTAGTGTTTTTATTTTTTTGTTTGCAGCGTTTCTTTTATGTTTGCAGCATTTCTGTTTTGTTTGCAGCGTTTCATTTTTTGTTTGCTGGTGTTTTCTATTTTTGTTTGCATCGTTTCCATTTTTGTTTGCATCGTTTCTATTTTTGTTTGCAGTGTTTCTTTTTTGTTTGCAGCGTTTCTTTTCTGTTTCCATGATTTCTTTTTTGTTTGCAGCGTTTCTTTTTTGTTTGCAGCATTTCTTTTTCTTTGCAGTGTGTCCCTTGTGGGCCATCGTATATCTAGATGTGTATAAGAGACAGGTATTGTGATATCTGGTACCTATGATCTTACTAGCTTGTTGGACTACCAGCATTTTTTCCCCCTTATTATTGAACCAAATCACACTGCTGAGTATTGAAGCCGATTGTGTAAAATATATATTAAACAGATAAAACATTACACTCAACATTAAATTTTCCTAATGAGGAAGTACTCTTCTTTTTTAACATTTGGAGCTCAACTTATCTTTGTTACAACCCAGTTTAATATGTCATCAGTTTAAACAACTACTAAGGTAATTATATCTACACAAAAAAAAACCAGGAAAATTGATATAAAAAAAACTTTCATTATTAACAGGTATAAAATAATTAGATATATTGTAAACAGTAATGGAAAAAGAGCATCCATGTGGAGCTCCAGTGGTACTTTACATTTGTTAGGCAGAATCAGTGAATCAACATCATCCTTTCTCCAATCATGAAGAAAACCAGCCACAATTTAACAAAAGATTAACGTTTACTGATTTAAGTTAATTAATACAGATGGATGAAAGATACCAGTAAAATATTTATTATCCAAGAGCATTAAATAAATTAAGCAAATGTACCTTTCAAAGACTGCACTGATACCAGTTTTGTACTTATAATAAAAATTTCAGCAAAACTGTTTTCCTAAATATTAATCTCTCGAAACATTTTATTCCTTTATTTTAGAGTGTTCCAGAAGTGATGTTGACATCAAATAAGTTGCATGTATCTGTGAGGAAATATTTATTATATTCCAACAAAAGCCAATTGAAGATGGATCATTATATTAATAATTATAGATACATATTTTTACTGTTTTTAAGATTTCAAATTCTATTTCATTAGGTCTTTACATAATCATGACTATGTAATTGTAAAACATTTGTGTGTATAAATGTTTAAAAATATCTTACTTGTAGTACTATCATCATTCGTATCAGTAGTAATATGGTTTAAAACTTCAGTTGAAAGATGCTTCGTAATGGGAATAAGAACTGTTGTAGGTACATTACTGTAGTTGAAATTGTGATATGTCAAGACCCTAATGCAATTGCATCAACACTGACTATATCACAGTGAAGCAAAAAGCAGTAAGGTAGTCACAATCACTCAGAGCAGAAATACAACTTGTTTATTTCGCAACAAGGAAGTCAATCCAGTTCACAGCTGTCATATTGTTATGTTGTTACTGTTGTAAAAAAAAAGGCTTTAAAATTATTCTCAAAATAGTAAATTGTGCTCTTTCACTAAAGAAACATATATTTTGACTTTCATTAAAGAAACACAAATATGGACATTATTTTATTTTTTACTTTTAAATTTTCTTTCAATAAATATATAGGCCTATACTACTACATAAAATATAATGGAAATTTAACATCATTCAACAAAGCACTTAAAAATTAATAGCCAAAATGTAGGACCTAGGCTAGCATACACTTAAATTATCAATTTAATAATAGGCCTGCAGCGCTATCAAATACCGGTAGGCCTGCAGTGCTAGGCATAGACCCTTCAGTTCTGTTTATTAATAAATATCACTACTTTTTTTACTACACTGTCTATCTAGACAGAGTTTGACAACCAATTAGAAGGAGGGGCCACATAGGAGTAGGCCCATATCGGCCGCTACCTATATATCATAATTAATAGACAAGAAAACAACACGTAGTATAGGCCATGGCCACAGACCCTACATTATACGGTCTGTATAGGCGAACAACTCGGGTAACAACTACATTCCTGAACCATCGCACATGTTCGTACAGTTTCCATGTACAGAGAGATCAAGCCAGTCGGCTATTTTCAGCATTTGACATTCTTTCCTTGTCTCCGATGACATTCCTGAATTGGCGGCGTACAAAGACTTCGTCTCCGATAACGTCCTTGAATTGGCGGCTTACAAAACTTTCTTTATTCTCCCAAGAGTATCATTGAACCCTACTTGTGAGAACGTTTCTCACTGAATTAATTATTACTAGGCAACTTAGTACAGTACTGGCAACTTAGTACAGTACTGGCAAATTGATACCTATTTAAAGCAATGTTTCCATTCATGCCTAGATTTAATTATTAATTAATTATTTATTGATAAGTTACAGCTATAGTTAAATTAAATTTCTTCTAAGCAATAAAGTTTCAACTTAGAATATTTTGCAGGATAAAATAAACACTTCTTTACTAAAAATTATGCTATTAAAACTACTTCGTAAAACAATCAATCTTATTAATAAAGTATTTCGCCATACGTTCTTTCAAGAACATAATAAGGTCTTGTTTTGTAAACTGGCATAGGGCCTATTATTTCAGTAAATGTTTTCTCATACACGATTTCAAACAAAATGTTTTCGTTACACAACTACTGGAGTAGGAATTATCAACTCACTCTGGCTAGACAATGAACATGCTTGCTTCATCAGATAAGACAAAAGATATCAATTAACGTCTCCGTGGTAACGTTAACTTTTTAACCCTACTACTCTAGTATTGTTGCATTTTATTGAGTAACAAACGATTGAATCGATAGCCTGAATCGTGTACATATTTGAGTATAAATAATTAAGAAACAAATATCATATGTATGAACTTTAGAAACACTTCAGTGGAGGAAACCAATTTTCAACCTATTCTTATATAAATAATATATGTATACATATTTAAATGTATGTGGCCTATATATAAATCATGACATAATATATATATATATATGGCCTATATAATAAATAATGAAACAATATTAGTATTGTTGCTTTTTACTGAGCAACAAACGATTGAATCGATGGCATGAATCGTGTACATATTTGAGTATACATAATTAAGAAACGAAAATCATATGTATGAACTTTAGAAATACTTCAGTGGAGAAAACCAATTTTCAACCTATTCTTATATAAATTATATATATGTATGCATATTTAAATATGGCCTATATATAATTCCTGATGATGACATAATTAATGTCGAAATATTGAATCCCAACACGATGGCGTGTATTTCAATACTTGGAGTATGTATTATACTTCTTATCTGAGATTAATCAGTGGACCTTTCGGCCTATATATAAATTATGATATAATAGATAAAATCCAAACTAGCTTTATATATAATAATAATAAGAAACGAATACAATACTTTATTGGAGAAGAACTTCAATCTATCGAAAGTTTTGATTGAAGCAATGGTTTTATTATTTTATGATGTTTACAATTCTTAATGTGACTTCAATTTATTTATTTATTTTTCAATAGTTACTTTTTAAGTAGTTTTATATAGTGTGTAGGCCTATATATAAAATGAAAAAGAGGGCCGAGTTAACCTGCCGGCCCGAGTTGACTGGGGCCTAGTTGACTCGAAAGCTTTGTATTTAGCGAGCGGTATTGTATTATTAATTGTGAATACGTCATCGGCGTTCCATACATATACACGCATTGGCGGCCTTTCTGGAGGGCGGCCGCTATAGGTAGCGTATGTGCTTTAGGCCAACTTCGGCCGCCGACACCTTCGGCCGCGCCCTGTCGAACACCAAAATGTATGGAGCGCCCTTTGAGTGCTTTGCCGATTGGAAGTTGAATGCGCGCTATTGTTTGTCACGTTAATGTACAGTGGTTGAATGAGCGCTATTATATCTATTGAATTTTTAACCTCAAATTCAGAAACACTCAAGCTTACATTGTTACAGATAGGCCTATACACACAGAACATGTCGCAACAATTAATATTAATAGTGTGTTAAAATTTCAGTGATAAAATTATATAATTTGTGAAAAAAATCGTAACGAATTAAACATGGCAAACTTTGCGCTGCCACTTAGGGCCTACACCATGGTTAACACAAGCAACATATTTGCAAGATTTTTAAACATTTTGACGATAATAATTGTTAAAGTTAAACATCATTGCTTGTTATCGATTATAGATCCCATTTTTTACATGTGCACTTGTTTACTATTCAGTAATGTAAATATAAAGACCTGAATTTTAAATCACCAATAAATTAAATATTTTGAGTGAGTAAATTAATTGATTGGCTTTAATGATATAAAGTGTATGTACATTAAGGGCATGAGAATAGAGAGATACTCCTCAAGAATTTTTATTGACTAATGATTGACAAATTTACTCAAGATTTCTTTTTCCCACTCGTAAATAGCACACTTTGTTTGTGCACGTGTATCATTCTAAATTTTATTTGACGAAATTTTATTTTGTGGATAAAGGAAACTGACGAAATATGAATAAAAATACAGTAAAAAATGCGTTGTAGTCTATTAATAAATAAAATACTGGAGCTTATACTTATACTGGAAATATGAATTACTGTACAATGAATAGGCCTACAGTTTCAAATTGTATAAAGAATAACAATACTGTTCTGTAAGACAAATAAAATACTTTAATACTAAAGCTTTACAATTCTTCAATGTAAGACACTTAAAAAGAAATCCACATACCTGAAATAAATAAGTAAATAATACTGTACATGAAAGCAATTATTATATACATACAATACCTAAAATAAA